TGCCTACCTCTCCCCACATCTTGGTGTCATCGGCAAACTTGGACAACATGTTTTCCACCCCCTCATCCAAGTCGCTGATGAAAATGTTGAACAGTGTAGGTCCCAGGACTAAGCCCTGGGGGACCCCAATATTCACATCCCACCAGGTTGAGTACAACCCGTCCACCACTACTTTCTGGGTGCACCCCATCAGCCAATTTTTGACCCATCCAACTGTGTAGGCATCAATGCCACAGTCGCTCAATTTATTAATGAGAACGGGGTGAGAGACAGTGTCAAAGGCCTTATTAAGTCCAGAAAGACTACGTCCACGGAGACACCGTCATACAGGGATTTAGTTACCTGGTCATAAAAGGCAATCAGGTTGGTCTGGCAGGACCTGCCTTTGATGAACCTATGTTGATTTCCCCTGGGCATGATCTCCCCTGCTGACCCCTCACAGATGTGATCCTTGATAATTATTTCAAGGATTTTCCCCAAGATCAATCTGAGGCTTATGGGCCTATAGTTTCCTAGGTCCTCCTTTCTCCCTTTCTTATAAATGGGGACCACATTAGCGAGTTCCCAATCTCTGGGCTCCTGGCCTGTGGACCACAATTGCTTGTACAGCCATGCCAAGGGCATAGCAATGACCCCTGCCAGCTCTCTCAACACCCGTGGGTGGAGGGAATCAGGGCCCGCAGATTTAAAACCATCCAGCCCTTCCAGAAGATCCCTAACTACATCTGCGAAGACCCGAGGCCTGGCAGTGCTATCCCCAAGATTGCCCCTACCTGGGGTGGGAGAACTGTCCTGGTTCCTGTCCAAGAAGACAGAGGCAAAGAACTTGTTAAAAAAATCAGCTTTCTTGTCTGACATAGCCACAACATTACCATTTGAGTCTAGCAGGGGCCCTACACTTTAATTTTATTTAAAAATAATAATTCTAGTCCTGATTTTTTTTAGTAGTATAAATAGAGGTAATTTCATAATAGCTCAAAATAAAGTCTTACTCATGTATATCGTTTGTCTGGTGGAGGTGTGTAGGGAGGTGGACATGTGTGTGTGTAGTAAAACCCCCAGTTTTTCTTTTTTTAATTTATATAAAAATGCATTCCTTCCCCTTTCCCAACCATTTCTGACTTTTTATCTCCCTCTCTATTCCCTATAGATAAGTGAGCTCAGATTTAGGATAAGCTTTAAACATTTTTATTTTGATAGCAAGATTTTGGTTTTGGATATCCTATGTTTTATATTGTATAATTATTAGGTTTGTATTGATTCTTACTGTTGTATATTGTATTGTTATAATTTTTATATTGATTTTAATTGTTTCATATTGTATGGTTTAGGCCTGTGTTTGTAAGTGACCCAAAGTCATGTCAAGTTTCCATTTTATATGTCAAGCCTCCATCTTCGGTCCTCTGCCTGGGCATCCCATGTTGCAACTGTATGAGTCACGTACCCCTCCCATGTAAATTGGTTCCCAGATGAATGAGAATAATTGGGAATGATTGAAATACAATGAATGATTGAAATACAATGGTATCAGGCCTCTACTGAATGGCCTGTAATGACTGGGCCATCCCACCACCTCACGTTGATTCATCCAGGAACCACGGACCTCACCCAGGAACAGAGACAAGACCAGCATTTGAAAGTCAAAAGACCCTGCAAAAACAGCAATGATCACCATTACAGACACCCGAAACTGCACATCCCTGCATTGACCACACATGCTCAGTACGCCAGGGGCTGACCCTTGCCTGGGCATGCCTCCTGTCACTAGGGTCACAAAAGGTCTGCCCCTATAAAAAGGGGCAGTGAAGACAGACCCAGTGGGACGCCCTCTCCATCTGGACCAGCACCATGCCACACCACCTATCCACCCAGAGGCCCTGCCGGCAACCCGCCTCTGGACAAAATCTACTGAACAAGGACCCCTCTCCAGCCTGGATAGGTAGATATTACCTGCACACCTCCTCCTACAATTTGGATTCTCTCTCTCTGTCTCTCTCTCCACCTAGACTTCAGTGGACTTCAGCCTCTGCACCACGCCTCTCTAACCCCTGCTGCCATTGTGTGTGTGTGTGTGTGTGTGTGTGTGGGTGGGTGGGTGCAAGGGAACCAGTAAGACATTGTGTCACCATCTCTCCTGTTCAATAAAACCACTGTCATTTGCAACCCCAAGTTGGGTCATGTTTTACTAAATCCCAGTCCTTTCCTTATCTTAAATTCCAGCCTCATTCTCTCTCTCAGCTCTAGCCCCCACTCCTCTCCATTACTTTCCCGATCTCCTCTCCATTTCTACTGCCTTTTCCCTGTGACTTTCTGCTGCCTTTCTCTGCTTTCCCATTGCCCTTGTTGCCTTTCAGTCCCTCCTGCTGCTTTTTCTGTGATTTTCTGCTGTTTGTCTCTCTGTTTTCAGGCTTCCCCCGCACCTTCTGCAGTCATTCCCCCACCCCTGCAGCTTCCCAGCTCCTTGTGGCTGTCCTGCCTTGGGCCTGTCCTGCAGTTTTTTTCCAGCAGCTGGAGCCTTTCTCCAGCTCCCAACACCTACTGCCACTCCCTGCAACTTCTCTAGCTATCCCAGAGCCATCCTCTGGCTCCCCACAACCAGAGCCCCTCTTTAACACCCACACTTTCCATTAGTCCTATTTTCCCTCTTCACACCTACCCTTTCGGCTCCCACATAGCTCTGGCTCTAGTCCCAGCCTATGTGCCAGCCTTGCTTCCCTGTTCTGCAGGCTTTGGGCATTGTCTTTTAATCAATTAAGATTAATTAACATAAAGTTACCCCTGAACCTCAGTTCTTCAGCCCAGGCCCCTCTAGTGTACAGATTCTAATCCCAGTCCTGGTAACTTTAACTCCCTACACTTCTACTTTCTTACCTTAACCGTTCCCCAGGTATCCCAAGTACACCAAGCACATACATACATACACATCACAACACCCAACTTAGAAGCTCACTTGTGTGTATGTGTAGGTGGCTGGTATGTGTGTAAATTAGTGAATACACACACACACACACATATATAGATATAGATATAGATATAGATATCATTGTGTGAGTATGTGGTACAGGAATTAGTAATCCACATATGTGTATTGGATGTGCAGGTGTTGGTAACTGGTAACTGGTAACTGATTCTGTCTAAATTTGGTGTGTGTAGCATGTATGGGCTTAAACTGGTGATAGGTGTGCATGAACCTAGACTAGTTATTTTGAATGTGTGTGTATCTGAGTTTCTAGTGTGAGTGTGTGTGTGTGTGTGTGTGTGTGTGTATATATATATATATATATATATATATATATGGGATTGTGTACATGATATACTAAATAGTGATCTGTGTCTAACTTATGGGGTGTATAGTGTGTGTGCTTGAATTGGTAATAGGTATACATATGTCTAGGCTGGTTTGAATGTATATTTGCCTGAGCTGGTAATATGTGTGTGTATGAACCTAATTGATTTGTGCATTTGTATATGTGCAATTGTACACCATGCCCTCCTGTCTAACAGCACAATACTGAGATCCTGAGCGTTGGCCTGACCCCTCAGGGCAACATGTAGGTGGGCAAGGAAAGTGGGTGTGCACATGTATAGGAGGGGATGCCTACATGCCTCTGGGGGTGGTGGGAATGATGGAGGGATGGAGAAAGAGCTTCAGCTCCCAGCCTCCTTCTACCCACTCAGCCACCTGCAGGTCACTGCTGATTGTGTCAGGTGGAGGGAAGTGGAAGCCAGAGCTGAAGCCCCACACACTGGGGCAAGAGTCACCCAGCTGCATCTTCTCCCTGCCTAGCTGGGCATCTGTTTCCCAGCACATGTCCCCCAGCTTCCCACATTACCTGCTGCCTGAAGCAGTGCAGCAGGGGCCAAGGCAGGGGGAGGAAGAGGAGAAGCCAGTGGAGGAGGGTGGAGCTGAGCAGTACTCAGGTGGCTATAGACTCACCAGGAGCAGCCCCACCAGGAAGCTGTGTGTGCTCGCTGGGATGGGCAGGAGCATGACATGTGCTTCCCCAGGTGTGGCTCAGCCCCATGTGCAGCATTGTGGGTTGGATCCAATCAATCAGTAGGTGTCTGTCTGCGGGTCTGATCCAATCAGTTGGTGGGCTAGATTCAGCTCAAGGGCCATATTTTACCCACCCCTGCTATACTGTGTACTTCTGTAGCTGAACTTCCAAAAAAGACAGGTTCTTTCAATTTACAAGGTCTCATTTATATTACCTCATTATATTATCTCATTTATAAACATAGCATCCATTGCAAAGAGTACTCAGTTCAGACATCAATCTTCATTAAGAGCTCACCATCACTGCTGCCATGTTTAATAGTGGAAGGCAGAATTTCCCAATAGAGTAGGGAGGAAGAAGTCTTAGGTATTAATGGGTAGAAAAATGATATTTAGAGGTTTGCTTTTAGGAATTGGCTTGTAGGTTAAGTAGCTAATGCATTAGAACAATGGTCCAGAGGAACAGAGGGTGAATTAGTTTCTAAAAGCTTCTTTGTAACAAAGTTTCCTTCAAGGCAGACACCATGTCTGAGGTCAACAGACAAGTGGGCATACACATCCTGGGTAATTTGAACAGTATACCCATAACAGAGATAAGGGACTTTGCCATGTTGGCTAGGTCACAGTGCCCAGCTGCAGAGACTTTGGGATTTCTGTTTTTGGTGGACAGACGAAATTAGGCTGGGGCATGCCCAAATTAAGACACCGGTACATAACAAAATCAAGATGTGTGCATGTGATGGGTTTGGGAAACAAAAGAATATGCTGACGGAACAGAACATGTTTCAGTATGATGAGCACAGGGGGCCTTGCTCCTGAAATGCAATCCACCAATCCAGACTCCAGTGGAGTTCCAATGAATTATTTGGGACTTTCCAGGCATTTAAATCCGTTCACTGCAAGATTTGTAGTAATAGCCCAGCAGGACCAACGCCTTCAACTGGAGGATAGTAATCTTGAAAGATAATTTTGTCTATTTGTAGGGACCTACCAATTTATGGTGGAAGTGAGGTGCAAGGCAGTTCCTTTAATCTTTCATGTTCCAGGGATCTATGTGCCCCTCCACCACCGATTGGTGGAGGGGCCATGCTTGCAGCTTACTCTTGATTGGTGGGGAAGTGAAAACTACAGATTTAAATATGTCACCATTCTTGCCTCCTGCTGCTGATTGGCAGAGGGGCCCCAGTGACCCCAATGCTTGTTGCTGACTGGCAGGGAGGCAAAAACTATGCCATGTTTAAAACTGTGATTTTCACTTCCTTTCCGATCAGTGATTGGTATGGTTTTAAACATGGAGGGGTTTTTGTTTCCCCACCCATCAGCAACAAGCATCAGGGCTACCAGGGCCCCATAGCCAAATCAGCAGCAGGAGGAAAAAAATGATGCCATATTTAACACGGCAGTTTTTCCCTCCCTGTCTATTGGGAGCAAGCTGCAAGCATGGTGTCTCTACCAATCAGTGGTGGAGGGGCATGCATGGGAAAATTGAAGATTAAAAGAGCTGCTGTGCACCTCACTTCTGCTGTGAATTTGGTAGGTCCTCACCTATTTTTTGTATAGTAACCAAGAAGATATACCTACAGGTCATCACAGAAGTCCAAGATCTATCAGAACAAGGCTTAAACTGTTTTAACTCAACTTACCTGATGAACCTTGGGATGGCTCATTTCTTACCATTTACTAACTGAACAGAAGGCAGGTGGGAAGGGGAAGAAATGTCCATGGTGAGGGGTGGGCATTGGAAGAGGGACATTTTTTTTCCTTCATCCAAGTACTACTAATCAATTATGATAAAAATATCAGACAGTTTGTCAAGGTTTAGACCAAAAATTCTTAACTACAGTGCTACAGCAGTGTAGTTTGTGTAGCATGTAGTGTAGTTTGATCATGATTACAGCCCTTAACAAAAATATTTTTTTCTAGTAGTAAGAAAAAACATACTGGCTGAGGTTACTACCCTGCCCCCAGAATTAGAATAGAAAGGGTTTCTATTAACAGTTTGCAAAACACTTACTTTTTAATAGCTTTTGTTCTGTTTTTGCACATAAAACTTCTTTGAAAAGCTCTGTAAAGACACACTCCAATCTAGAATTTGGACTGCTTCTCCCTGTATATAGGTCTACTTTCTAAATGACTGCTGGGCAGTTGGTACTTGGGAGCAGCCCATCAGTCCTTTCTGTCAATTCCACATTTCTGTGACCTCGTGGTTAGACAGGGGACATTCTATATGCTTATGCAGCGGTTACAACTTAGCCCAAATGGTTAGCTGATTAGGGCCTCACAGGTTGTTTCCATTAGAATGAGACTCAGATATTTCTATGATGTAATCCTATTTATTATAATAGACTACCAAACCTGCTAAGGCTGTAAAGTCCTTCCTGTTTAAAGACTACTATGTTCTAAGTGCTTCAGAATCAGTGTCCTATTGAAGTGTCAGTGATGCAAATTTGAGATAATTAAAATATAGCCCCAAACAATGTTTCTAAATTGTCCCAGGGGAGCTGGGACACCGAAGGAACCCCGGGGCAGCAAGGAGTCATACTTACCTCCCGCAGAGCCAGAAAAGCCGGGGGAGGCGCGTACGTTGAGGACGCCGGTGCGGGCGATCAGCCGGGCATTTATCTGGCTGCAGCAGAGCAGCGGGGTTGGAGGACACCTCCCAGAAGAAACAAAAAGTGGCCCTGCCAAGGCAGTGGGGTGGCTGATGAGGAGAGACCAGGGGAGTGAGCTCCTGCGGGGAGCAGATCAGCCGCTGCACCCAGCTGCAGCAAGTGCAAGGGGCGGAGCCAGAGCGGGCTCCAAGAAAGCCAGCAGCACAACCAGCAGCCGTGCTGGTGGTGGAAACGGCTCCGACGCTGTCAGCAGAGCCGGTGAAGGAGCCGGCTGCGTTATAGGCAACAGAGCCAGTGGAAGAGCCAGCGACGTCGGGAGCAGCAGAGCTGGGGAAGAAATTGACGACGCTGCAGGCAGCAGAGCCGGTGGAGGAACCGGCAGTGTGGGGAGCAGCAGAGCCAGGGAGGGAGCTGGCTGCATCGCAAGCAACGGGGCCGGAGAGAGAACCGGTGGCATCCTGAGCAGCAGAGCTGGTAGGGGAGCCGGCTGCGCTGTGGGGAGAAGGGCCAGCGAGGGAGCTGGCTGCATTCCAGGCAGCCGAGCCGGTGAAGGAACCGGCTGCTTCATAAGCAGCAGATCCGGGGAAGAAACCAGCAGCCAGATTAAAGAAGGAGCCGAGGCAGAAGGCCGGGGCTGGCGACCCCAGTGGATGGCCCATTTAGCCGAGGACCGTGATGGATGGACGGCAGGTTGGGGGTAAGACAGCGGCAGGCCTAGGACACTGTGGGAGCCAAGAAGAGGCAGAGCTACAGGTGGCGAGTGGCCAGGGTGTAGGGGAGGACGGAGCCCCGAGACTACCCGCGGGGGACCGCGCCAACTCTAGGAGCTACCCCAAGGAAGGACCCCCTACTGAAGTTACATTCAAAGTCGTGGCAGATGAGTTCAGGGGTCCTCCTGACTTCAGCAGGGGTAGCCTTCGGGGTCCACCTGTAAGCCTGGGGCCCACAAGATCTAGGGCTCGGGTGAAGGCGGTGCGGGAACACCTACTAGAGCAGAGGCGGGTACATAAATATTCAAAGATTCTGCCAAAATGGCCTTTACCCCTTTATTTATTTCCCAGCAGATTTGTTCATCAATTTTTTTCTCAGTTCATGCATGACACTTTCTTCCCCTTTCTGGAAAACAACACTAAGGATGTCATTAAGGAGAAGATTTTAGCTCTCTTTGTAAGTACATTATACATGTGTACCAAACAGATTGAAGTATAAAGACCAAACAAGATGGTCTTCCCAGCCACCTACCTTTTCTATGACCTTTCTGGCTCAATGAGAAACAATCTAGCCAAAGAACCTAAACTACACTCTGGCACTGTATTTGGAAGGTATAAAAATCACAGATTCAGTGGACATACTGATACTACCAGCTTGTCCAAACTGAAACTTTTTCATTCGAGAGAAATGAACACAAAAGCTAAAACAGAAGACACTAAAACCATGTTTTAAAAGAAAGCAACTCAGCAATTAATTGAACTTTCCTGTGGCCTTCACCTACCTCTGGACAAAAGGAAGAGCCCTCTCCAGGGAAGCTTGGGTCCCCAGTCTCTGATGGACAGGGAAGGTGGCCAGTTGGGATAAGGTTGGCAGAGCCACCTGGTGTAGGACCAGTGCCACAGAAAGGTGGGGCAAGCGAGGCAACCACCCCAGGTCCCAAAGCAAAGAGGCACCAATAGGCACTGCCTGGGGTGGGGCAGGGCATGAGATGGTGGTGTAAGCAGCTCATTTGGGGTGGGGGGTGGGGACAGGGTAATCACGGCTCCCACTGCTGCATGCCCCCTGGATCTGTGTGTGAGGCCCGGGTGGGCTGCCATGGCAGGCTTTGGCCAGGCACCAAACTTCTTTGCTATGGCACTGTGTAGGACCAGATGGCTGTACTCAGTTCAGAGACTCCCCACAACACAGTTCTTCTGCACCCTTCCCTCCCCACACCCCACAGAAACTCCATATTTCCATTGCACAAACCTTCCTATCAATTACTGCAACTCCACAAAACCTCCTTCCAGTTACTCCACACTCTAAGCCTGAGCATGGAACTAGGATTTGAACCACAGAATGTGTTTATTGAAAACTCCAACTGCTCAGCTTCTGCTGTTCCCTTCCAATTTGCACTTATCTTCAAAAGGTCTGCTCACCTTTTTCTAGTTAGACATCAAATTCTTTAGGGCAGAAACTCATTTTTATTCCACATTTGTATAGTGCTTATGCACAGCTGGGCCCCATTTTCAGTCAGCTTCTACATACTACAATAGCTTACATAACAGATAATATGTAGAACCCAGGCATGTCTGGCTCCTATCCATGCCCCTTCTCACCAGCCCTCTAACAGCAAGTTAGAGCAGTGCAGGTCAGAGATGGTATTATGTCTTAATAAGCAAATACTTAGAGTATGATATTCCATTGATTTATCACATGCTAAATGAAACATGTAACACCCCTGGTTAAGCCAAGAAGAAATGTATGATTTCTCAGTGAAGTTTTACCTAGATTTCTATGAGGCACAACCCATTCCAGACTAAAGAGTTTTGGGCCTTATTTGTAAACCAGTTTTTCCTAAAGGAGAAGATCAGTATGAAAGCTTAGCTCATCTATTAACAGTTATTACTTCCAGTTAATTTAAACAGGGTTCTGTTACTAAAGTTAGTTCAAGGTATGGCTTTGAATAGGGAGATAATGGGTAACATGATGTTATTCACTTAATGAACTAGGAGATATTTTGCAGTAAACAGTCTATTTGTTTCTGGGTCTCAATATTTTATAGCTATTGTATGTGATATAAAGTATAATTTTACAACTTTAGACATTTGTCTTGGGAGTATGGACAGCAAGGATATCTTGTTCACCTTTATCTCAATAATTAGAGAAGTTAAAACAGAGACACAACTATTTTATATTTACTCAATTAATTACAAGTATGTAAGGACACTTACTGTCTACATCAGTGGTCACCAACTGGTTGATCAGGATTGACTGGTGGATCCTGGAGCCACTTACAGTCAATCCTGGGCTGGGGGAGTTGAGTGCACATGCATGTGCACACCCCCCCCCCAGCCCAGCAGGTCAATTGGTGGGGGAAGGGAAGGGGTGCGTGCCAGATTGAGGCCCCTGCAGTGAGGGGCAAGAGTGTAGGAGCATCCCAGTGAGTGGGCCCTGGCTGGGTTGGTGGTGGGAGGATAGAGCCTGGGTGGCTCATCCAAAGGCAGGGGGTTGGCACCCGCTGCTGTGTGCACCCTGACAGATGCCTTGGAGGGCACATGCCCTCCCTTCTGTGCCCAGAACAGGTGGCTGCTGCTACGGGATGGGATTTGTGCCCTAAGCCCCACTGCAGCTTGCTTGGGAACCCACGTTGCCCTGGCAATGCCCAGACCGTACAGCAGGGCAATGCTGGTCTCTGCCACATGAGCTGGCTCCACAGGGAGCAGAAGTCTGGGACAGGACAGGGCAGGCAGCAGCAGCAAGGAGACCCTCAGCACAGATCTCTGCTCCCCACAGAGCTAGGTCATGTGGCAGGCAGTGTTGGTCCCTGCCACATGACCTGGCTCCATGGGGAGCAGATATCTGGGGAAGCAGTGGTGAAGTGACCTGCAGAATGGATCTCTGCTCCCTCTGGAGCTACGTCATGCTGTAACATGAACTGAACTAATGTAGCTGATGTTAACATACAGTGTAATAATAGTGAAATGTAACCATGTTAGTCTTGTCCTGTAAGCAACTTGAGAACTCCATTTTGTAACCGCTTGACATAAGCGAATGAACTCTTCATTGCCTTTGTGTATGAGTGTGTGTAAAAGGGTAAATGGTGACAGAATGGCATAGAGACAGAAGATTTAACTGCTTATATAAGCAACAAGGTGCCAAATGTAAGTTACCAGCCAGTAACTAACTAACAAATGGCTGAAAAATCCCTTTGAAGCTTGAGGGAACAAAGGAGATAACAGAAGAATAAATTCTGCCAGATGGGCGACAAGAATACTCCAAGCTAAGATAAGCTGAAGACAAAAGAAGAACAACTGCAAAAACAGAAGCTGGTATAAAAAAACAAAAACAAAGCACTGAAACAAAGGATGCCAATCCCTATAAAAGAACACTTTGAAAATACCAAGTGGGGTAAGTCTCTTTCTCTACTGCTGTTTCATCGGAGCACAGGTGCATCTGTTCACCCTGCTCCATCTGTTATCTTCAAATCTGCTATCTTTAAATCATCATCATCTACTCAATAAGCCTGGGTTGGTCACCATTGGCTGATATTGAGCAACTATTGCTGATAACTATATCTGGTGTATGTGTGGATGAAATGGTTGTTTTCTGTATGTGTCTGCCTCTGTGTAATGATGTGTATGATGATTTGTGTGCATTTGTATAAATGGTGTGTTGGAACTTCTGTGTCTAACTCATGTAATCAATAAATGTGGCACCTTACCTTATCCCCCTTTATAAAGTCTTGCTCGTAATTTGGGTAATTGGCAATTTAAGTAACAGTGCAGCAGGTCAGTGCTGATCCCTGCCATGTGACCTGGCTCCACAGAGAGAAGAGATCTGGGCCAGTGCAGGGCAAGCAGCAGTAAATGAGGAGACCCTGACATGGATCTCTGCTCCCTGCAGTGCCAGGTCATGGGAAAGGCTAGTGCTGGTCCATGCCACACAACCTGGCTCTGCAGGGACCAGAGACCTTGGGCAGTGCAGGGTGGGCAGTGGCAGCAAGGAGACCCCGGCATGGATCTCTGCCCCGTGTGGAGCCAGGTCACTCAACAGGGACCAGCAGTCTTGCTCACAGCTCTGTGCTGCTTCCCTGCCCCATGACCCAGGGTGACAGGGATCAGAGATCCATGTGGGGGTCTCCTTACCTGCACGGAGGGCAGCAGCCCTCCCCCAGACAAACCACCCACAGCCCCATCCTGCTCTCCATTGGGGCCCTGCAGCCACCAGCCCCACCCCCTCCTGGATGGAAACTAGGGCTGAGAGCCCTGGGGCTCTTTAGCCTGGAAAAGCGCAGGCTCAGGGGTGATCTGATGGCCACCTATAAGTTTATCAGGGGTGACCACCAGTATCTGGGGGAACGTTTGTTCACCAGAGCGCCCCAAGGGATGACAACTAGGTCGAATGGTCATAAACTACGACAAGACCGTTTCAGGCTGGACATAAGGAAGAATTTCTTTACTGTCCGAGCCCCCAAGGTCTGGAACAGCCTGCCACCGGAGGTGGTTCAAGCGCCTACATTGAACACCTTCAAGAGCAAACTGGATGCTTATCTTGTTGGGATCCTATGACCCCAGCTGACTTCCTGCCCTTTGGGTAGGGGGCTGGACTCGATGATCTTCTGAGGTCCCTTCCAGCCCTAATGTCTATGAAATCTATGAAATCTATGAAAGCTTGCAGCCCATTTGAAACAGATTCAGAGGAGATTTGGCAGAGCTGAATCTCCAAAACATTTTGGCTGAAACAAAACAGGACAGTGATCTGAAACACTGAAACGAATCACTGTCCTCTGAAATAGCCAAATCCAAAACGGAATTGAAACACAGCTGTTTTGCACAGCCCTAATATATATTTCCCTGCCAGTTTTAAGGTGTTTTAGGCTTAACTCATTTCTGGTGCTACTGAGTAAACACATTTGATGAAGCTCACAGAATTCAGAGGACTCTGGAAAAAAACTTGGAACATCCTTCTTCTCTCCACCAAGATTACCTAGTAACAATATACACTAGAA